ATTCATTTTTTAAGAACAACAACTTGTCTACTCTTCCCTATATCAACTCTGCCCCATTCCCACGAGCTCCTTTTCTCTCTTCCACAGGGAACCCGCTTCTATCATGCATATGCTATAACACTTTCTTTTATCATTATCATTCATCTTTAGAATTTAATTGTCATTGTCGCTTTAATATGCTGTAGGGAAGGGGTTAACTCAACCCTTCGCTGAAAATGTTGCAAAAAGATACCAAAAAACTGAAAAATCTTACACGATCCTGTATGAATACGATAACTAGTTTACTATTGAAAAGAATTAAACACTAGTGAAGTCAATCGTATCTTCTTACCAATATTCACTATCACTTAAAGGCGACTTTTTGGAGACACTGAAGACCTGTTATTCTCAATCATTCTCTGGATATTGAATGTTTTCAATCGACTAGAGTAAAATGTACTACATAAATTATGCATAACGGGGTAACATCAAAGAGTCTTTGTCGAGCGCATTTGTACACGACTTAGCGAATTAAATTCTTTGCTATCAAGTTCCTAGTTTTGATCATCTTATACAACAGATGCTATGGAAAACGAGTGTTCAAACTATTTTGCTAGATAGCTACCGTATCTGAGATAAGGAAAAAGCGCCGGCGAGATACAAGTATTAATTCTAGATCTTGATTCAATAGATTTTGAAAATCCTGTCTTATCGCTCCGACTTTAAACTGATAGGCGGAGATCAAATTAGGCAGTGTCTTTTTAGATCAAACGCGCTTCCGTTGACTTTTACTATCTTTCTTTTTAAAGATGAAACAACGTCTCAATTACAAGTCAAAAGCAGATCTATACAAATAAAAAACAAATCTATTTAAAGGAAGTTTTATGAGTGATCGACAAAGCTGCTTCTTAACATTGTTCTTAAAAGATGTTGATTTTAAACTCTAAGCGGAAGCCGGATGGTAGACTCACCCCCAACTATTTACACAAGAGGCCGCAAATATTAGTCGACTTTTCGCTAAACTCGATCTTATCTTACAAATCTGTTTGGTTTTTTTAAGTAATTGTTCTCAACACTAATCCTAATTTATTTTTCTAGAAAATAAATGAAACTTGAAGTTAGTGTTTTTACCTAAGCTGATAAGCAGGGTTAGCTAGATGAGTTGTGTTGACCAATTAACGTGATGTTAAGCTTATAAGGTTAAAGTTACAGTGGGTATTGGGGATATATGTACAGTCAATGTCATTAACGTTGTCCACCAAAAAAAGACATTTAGACATTTAGACATTTAGACATTTAGACTAAAAGAAATATCACGTGTTTCCTCGAAGGTTCTGGCATAAAACAAATGCTGAAATACCATTCTCCATCTTAAATCCTCACTAAATGGTCGGGGCATTCTGGATTTTCGATTCACGAGTTGAATTTTACATATAAAGTCTATCTATCCATCCTATCCATCCATCCATCCATCCATCCACCCACTCATCCATTGAGATTGGGGCTTTTGGGAATGCGTTTTCTTGTGTGTTTATTAGGGCCACAATATTCAATCCACCCAGTCCATCAACGTTATTCCTTCAAATATTTATGACCTATTTTCTGAATACTAAGTAGGTTACTAGTCTCTGCACGTCTTTGATGGCCCAACTGACGGTGACTAATATCAGTCAACAACTTGTCCTACGAATTCCCGACATTTCCTGCTTGTATAAGACGTTAGTTACACTATCTTGAGTTTCATAGAATAGTTTATAAGAGAAGAACGTGATTGATGAAGTAAAAGGGTACATGTTTGCTTGTCATTGTAGACAGCTTGAGATTCATTCAGGAGTAAACAGTACTTGTAAGTAATATTCCCTATCTGTTTTGAATTTATAAATTATTATTTTTGATTGTCAGTATAACTATTATTGCGTCCACTTCATCCATTTTTTTCTTTCTTTCTTTCTTTCTTTCTTTCTTTCTTTCTTTCTTTCTTTCTTTCTT